AACAGCAGGGAAACCGGCCTGGCCTGCCCAGAAAGGGGTCAGCGGGGCACACACGAGCCGCCGGGCACTGGCGGCACCAGCTGTTCTGACCCAGAACCTCGGAGTGAAAATGCCAGGGGCAGGACAGACCCGGCCTCCTGTGACCTCTGGGTAAAATCGGTGGCGGTGGCGGGGGTGCTCCCAGGAACAGACATGGCAAGAGGAGGGAAACCGCGGGCACCCTGTCTCTGGGAAGGGACCGCAGCCAGAGGGAGGCCGTCGGCCCCGGGGCGGCCACCCTGCTGGCTGTGCAGGACTTCCAGCGCGTTTCAGGGGCTAGGTGACCCAGGCACACCGGCAAAACCTGCCTCCTGCAACGAAACACAGCAGGAAGAAAGGGGGCCAGGAGCACCTGGTCCTCAGGGTCCCTGAGCAGAGCCCTGGCGGGGACGCTCATGAAGCCAAGAACGGGAGCCAGGTGACCACAGCTGCTAAGGACCGGGAGCCCACAGGACAGCGGCCGGGAAAGCCATCAAGCTCAAGGCTCACCAAGGGCTCGCCCAGGTCTGCGCCAAGCCCGGGCCCAGCACCTCACAGGCGCGTGGCCTCAGCCCCTCCTCAGCCCTGAGGGGAGCACCCGCCCTGGGGGCAGCTGTGCGCCCCAGCAGGGAAGCTCCCGCTGCCCCCAGGGCCCGGGAAGGCAGGCCACCACCGGGGACGGGGACAGGGCCCAGAAGACCGCTGCAGTGAGAGGTGGCTTCCGTGCCATCTGGCACAGCTGGCTCCCCTGGGACCTGGAGAGTTCCCTCTGAGCTTCCTGTGGTCAATGTGTCTAGCAGACAATAAGTCCTGGCCCCGGATGAGTGGCTGGGACGGGAAGGGTCCCGTTTCCCTGGCCGCGACTTGGAAGGGGACGGCTTCCTGCTGGCAGCACCTTAACTGCCTGCTCTGGAGATGGAAGAAACAGCTGCGGGGACACCCCGACGGCGTCTGGCCAGGAAGTCCAGCTGCCACGAGCTGCAGGAGGGTGCGGCACACACGGAGGGGACGGGGCCTGAGGAAGGAGGGACTCCGCGTCCAGAGGGTCCCCGGGGCTTCTGTCTAAAAAGGAGCCTGGGTAAGAAGCAAGGGGACAGGAAGGGGCCAGGGGGGGCCACAGTGAGCAGTGACTCTAGAGCCCTAAGCCTGGGGTGCAGTCCCGCCTCTGCCTTGCCTGCCATATCCGGAGGCAAGTCACACCCCTGGCTGGATCTCTGTGTTCTCATCCCTAAAGTGGGACAGTAACGTACTGTCTCACAGAGTGCCAGGACGATCACGGATTAATGCAGGTCAGAACTCAGACCAGCCAGCACAGGGGACAAGCCCGCATCACAGTCACCTTCACCGACCCACCCTCTTCTCCAGCGTGGACTAGGACAGCAGCACCCCCTCATCTCCCTGGCACCCTGGGTCCCTCCCTCCCAGAGCGGCCTGCACAGTCTTTATAAAGGGAAACCAGATGTTAAAGCCCTTAAATGACTTCCCCTCACACAGGCGAACCCCGCCACACCCCTTTCTCCTCCACCGCATCCCCCGCTCAGCTGATGTAATGGGCTTTCGCACTCTGGCCTCAGGGCCTTTGCACCTTCCGTACCCACTGCCTGTTTTCTTTCTTTCTGCCTCCTTTCCAGCCCGGATCACTGTTTCTCATCAACCTTTCTGGTCCCTTTCTCTAGAAAGCCCTTGCGGAATTCCCAGGCTGGTCCCAGGCTGGGTCAGGTACGGCCCTGGGCTGCCTGAGGCTCCTCCCTCACAGTCCTGACTCTGGGCTGTCACTGTCTGGAGTCAGCAAGTCTGTCAGAGGCTGTCTGTGCTGGTCACATGCGAGAGTGCAGTGAGGCAGTGCCACCCCCTCCCACCTTTACTCCCCGCTCCTCGCCCCTGGAGCAGGTTCAGGTCAGCCCAGCCCCTCACCCAAACGCCAGCCCTGGCAGCTGCTCTCCAAGGAGAACTGAATCAAAGCTGGTCAGCGTCCTGCCTGCCCTGGGGGTAGAGGTCACAGCCCTCCCAGCCTGCCTCCGCCTCTGATGTGGGACTCGTTGGTGTCCGGCCCCAGCTAAGGCAGTGCCATGAACCATCTTTCCAACGTTCCCAACGAGCTTACTGGGTGGGTGCCCCACAGCCTGCTGTCACGTGGCTGCAGACTGTGGCGCGAGGTCAGCTGGGAGCTGTCGGGAGGTGCACGGAAACCCCTCAGGAGGCGCTGGGCCTGGGCTGTGAAGCCACAGGCAGCACTGCCACTGCAAGGCGACTCCGCCAAACTCGGCCAGGTATACAGCAAACAGTCTAGAATGTTCACCGCAACACTGTTACAGCTCCGACGGAAGCCAGCAGGAGGGCCACCAAGAGTGCAAATGGATAACTCCTGAGACCCAATCACAAAACCCCAACGGCAGGAAAAATGAACGCTGCCCAGAGCAAGATCCAAAGTCTAAGATGGAACATGAAAAGCACGGGGCATGGGGACATGCTGACGGGACACCATTTCTAGGCTTAGTGGGATGTGAGCCTGCGCTGGGCAGGGAAGCTCCCACTGCCCCCAGGGCCCGGGAAGGCAGGCTGCAGTGAGAGGTGGCTTCCGCGCCATGTAGCAAGGCTGGCTCCCCTGGGACCTGGGAGAGTTCCCTTCTGACCTTCCTGAGCACCCCTACAACCCGTCCCCACATTTTCAGCCTAAAATCTACCATGAGGTAAAAATTAGCTAATAAGAAACCACTTGCCCAAGGTCCCAGGCTGCTGGGTGACGAGGCAGGAACCTGAAAGTGTGGGTCTCTGACGGCCGAGCCTTCCCCTCGCTGTGCCAAGCTGGCACCACAAGGCTTGAGCTGGGAGCCTCAGAGGGCTGCTGGCGGCCTGCCTGCTCCCAGCCATGCCAGGCCCCATGGGGGAGGGGCGGCCGCAGAGCGAGCCAGGGGCAGGTGGAGCGAGGCCTCGCACCAGTTCCGAGGCCCTTCTTGGTGGCAGTGGCAGCAGCAAGCCTAGTGCTGACGTGCCCCCTGATGCCAGGCCCCCCGATCCAGGCCGGGACAGGCGCTCTGCATCCCCGCAGCACTTCCACGAGGCAGCCCAGCACTGTGCCTGTGTCACACGGGAGGAGACTCCTGGCCCCTCTCCTGCCCCCCCTGCTCCCCGGCTGAGCCTCGGGGTCTCCCCAACCCCACACATGGCCTCCGCTGCAGCCGGCGCCCGGCGCTCCTTCCCAGCTACCTCGCCTTCGGAGCTTCCTCAAGGGACTTTCCCAGGGACAAAGGTCTCAGGCCAGGCCCAGGGTATGGAGACGCTCCAGCCCTCATCACGGTTGGCAGAGACGTCACCATGTGTCACAGGTGGGCGTTGGCTTCTAGTCTGCTCCCACAGGAGACCCTGAGGTTGGGGGCTCTGTGGCTCCTGTCCTCTGCTGCAGTCCCAGGGCCCAGCAATCACCCGCCACCACCAGGTCGTTCCCCAAAGCCCGGCAGCGCTTGGAACACCCACTTCTAACAGAGGCGAACTCCAGGCGCACCCTAGTAAACAGGTGCGGCCGGCAGCGGGCTGGGAAGCAGCAGAGAGGCTGCAGGGGGCGGCGGCGAGGTGGCCCAGGGCAGGCTGAGAGCGGCGGGCGGCGGGGAAATTCCAGCCAAAGGGAACAGGGAGGTCAGAGCCTGCGAGGAGGCCTGGCCTGAAGCTGGAGAGTTTGGGAGCTGGGGAACAGCGGCAGGAAAGGAGGTGGGAGCCACTGAGGACCCAGGGAGGGCCTGGGGGCCAAGAACACACAACATCCCGCTTTCACAGGGTCCCCCAAGGGACACCCTCCCAGCCATGAGCCCATCAGTCTCCCTGAACTTTGGGCCACCCACCAACATCCCATTCCAACAGGCCCACGGGAACCCGCCCACATCACACCCTTCCAAGGAGGCCAAACAGACACTCTGTTCCTGCCCAGGGAGTGGCCCAGCCTTGCCCAACCTGCTGCTTCCAGACCCAGACCCACTGGGGAATGGTCAGTGTGGAAGCTAGAGGCAGGAGCTCTGGGAGCATTCTGGCCCGACTCTGAATCTGCCCCTGCTTTCTGAGCCTCTCTTTTTCTGTCTGTAAAGTGGGTTTATCTCCAGAACTCACTGCTCCGATTGTGACAGCCATGGAACAAAACCAGGCACGGGCACTCGGCCGAGGTGAGCCCTCATTAAACGTTAACCAACACTGATTCTTGGAGAGGCAGAAACACAGGGCTCTGAGACAGAATCCAGAGGGGGACTCTGGGCAGCACAACTTACCAGCTGACCTTGGGCAAGTCACTTAGGTTCTTAACAACAGGCTGAGACCCCACGGGGCTGTGGGGGGCTAGATGGGGACACAGTGAAGCAGGGGAAGAGAGCTAGCAGGAGACCAGCGCCTTCCCAGTGTTTGCTATTACCGTCAAAATTTGTGGGAGGGGTTCCCCGACTCCCACCACCAGGAAGCACTTTTGACCTCTCTTCTGGATGTCCCTGCCCCTTCGCTCCAGCACTATGTCCCCTTGGTTTCAGTTTTAGATCCTCCGAACCCTCAGTCTCCCGGTCAGATTTTGACCTTTGTCCCCTCTAACCACGCCCCCTTTGACCCCCTAAAAGACCCCCAAACCTAAAACTCATTCACCTGTCCTGTTAGTTGTGGCCTTTAGATCTGCAACCCAACGTCCCCGGAGTTGTGACCTCTGACCCATGTAGGCGCACCCTCCCCTCAAATTAGTAACTCTGACCCCCCCACACTTTTGGGGGACTCGTCCCGCGCCCCCACTTCAAATTTCAAACTTTGCCCTGCCCTTCGCCACGCCCCCCAGAGCGGGACCTCGGATCTCCTCTACGCCTCCCTCCCCTCAGCGCTGACCCCCGACCCTCTCCACGCGACCCTTCCCTCCACTTGTGAACTTTGACACCGGCGGCCCCGCCCCCTCCTACTTAAAAGCTCTTCCACCGCCAGCGCCCGGCCTACCCCCCCATCCCTGCCCAGACCGCCTAGCCTACCGGCTCGGCGCCACCGTCGCTGGCGGCCTGGCTGCTCGGCCCGGAACTCCGCGCCCTTACGCCGCCTTCAGCTCTCTGGCGCCGCCGCCACCGCGGCTACTACCGCCGCCATGTTGAATCCCCAACGAACATCCGGGGCTTTCCCCCTCGCCGCCCACCAGTCCCCATAGCAACGGGGCTGACCGGGCAGAGGGCAGGGCCTGCGTAGGGGCGGAGCTGAGCGCGGGGCTGCGCCCGCTCCAGCTTCTAATTGGTGCAGACGGTTCAATCGGAGACTTTCGGGCAGAAAATGCCAGGCGGGGATTGGAGAATTTGGAAAAGGTGCGGAGAAGCCCACTCCCGGCCCACCCCAGTTTGTTTTAAAGGGGAAGTGACTGTCTTCCTGTCGCACGCGCTCCCACCTTCTCCCAGGAGGAATTAGGGGACGGAAGACAGCAATGGGTTAATAATCGCCAGGAACAGTTCTTAAGCACGAGGCGACGGCCATGCGGTAAACGCTTTACTGGGATTAGCCGGACACTCAGCGCAGCCCGTTTTATTTCTATTACTCATTTTACAGATAAGAAACAGGTTCAAAGGGGGACTAGCTGGCTCAGGATCCCAGAAAAGTAGGGAATAGGTTTTGAAGGACAGACATCTGACACTGTTTGGTCTTCCTTTTTAAAATAAGTTTTTAAAGTAATGAATAAAACAATAGAAAATTTTAAAAACCCTTTTAAACTTCAAAAACGAATAAACTCGGACATCTATGACCTCACTCACCAGCCTCCAGTCTTCTCACAATTCCTGGGGAAAAAAAAAAAATCAGGAGCACTGTCAGCTGCAGGTCTTCCTTTGCACTGGCTTTCCCTTCTGTCTGGAGCATGCTCTTCTCCGGTGTTCGCTTAGCTCCTCTGCTCCTCCTTCAGGGTTTTCCTCAAATGTCACCTTCCCACTGGGCTCCTTCCTGCCCACCCCTCCTAAAGCAGCAAACATGGCTCTCAGATGCTACCAAAACCTTTACTAGTGCTTGCTGATTGCGTCTATTGTCAATTGTCTCCTCTGCTGGAATGTCAGCTCCAAGAAAATAGTGGATTTTTGTCCTTGTTCACCGTCGCCTACCCAGGGCGCTGGCATCCATGACGTGGGAGTGCTCAATAAACATTTGTTAAATGGCCTGGGCATGGTGGTGCAGCCTATGATTCCAGCTATTTGGGAGGCTGAGGCAGGAGGTTCCCAAGTTTGAGGCCACCCTGCCTCAAAATAAAATGAAAAGGGCTGGGGATGTAGTTTTTGAACGACTGGTGATTCCACTCTTCAGAGATGCACTTAAATGTTTGATGCAGCTCCTGTGCCCCAACAGACCGTCTAGCACACAGTAGGCAGTTCATTAATGTCTGAAAACCATGACTGAATGATGGATGCTGAGGTATGTTCTCTTTACATTTTCCTATCTTTAAAAAGAAATAGGAGGGCCGGGGTTGTGGCTCAGTGGTAGGGCACTTGCCTAGCACGCGTGAGGCACTGGGTTCGATTCTCAGCACCACATAGAAATAAATGAACAAAATCCATCAACAACTAAAATAAATAAATAAATAGGATCAGAGACAAACATTTCTAAAGAACGTTGTGTCTTTTAAAAACAAGATATCACTAGTATCTTTCCATGTTATTAAACATTTTTCAGAAGATTATTTTTAAGGGCTGCATAAGAAGCATCCTATCAATGAACTCTAATTTGTTTAAACACTCTATTCTGTTGGAGCATCTATACTGTTAATACATATTTTGCTACTACAAATCTGTTTCCTAAAAAATCCAAAGAGCTAAACATTTGTGCACAGCTCTAATTATTTCCGCTGAATAGACTACCATGAATAGAACGGTTGAGTTAGAGGGAATGTACACTTATGTATTTATTTGCGGTGCTGGGAATCGAACCCAGGGACTTGGCATGCTAGGCAAGGGCGCTACCACCAAGCTACATTCCCAAATCCTAGCATGTCCATTTTGAAGATTTAATACATTTCCTGTGTTTCAAGCATTTCTATGATTATGACTCTTGATAGAGTCATAATTCTAGCCATTTGATTTTTTTGTTTGTTTGTTTGTTTTTGGCACAAGGGATTGAACCCAGGGGCGCTGACCACTGAGCCACATCCCCAGCCCTTTTTGGTATGTTATTTAGAGACTGGGTCTGAGTTGCTTAGCGCCTCGCTTTTGCTGAGGCTGGCTTGGAACTCAAGATCCTTCTTCCTCAGCCTCCCGGGCCGCTGGGATTACAGGTGTAACCCAGCGCCCCGCCTTTTTATTTTTTGTTTTGAGAAAGGGTTTCCCTAAATTGCCTAGGACCTTCCTAAGTTGCTGAGGCTGGTCTTGAACTTGTGGTCCTCCTGTCTCAGCCTCCCAGGTCGCTGGGATTACAGGCGTGCGCCACCGCGCCCTGCTCAGCCATTTGATTTGAACAAGGAGCTCTGACACCCACCTCTGCTCGTCCAGGAGGCCACGGAGGCTGAAAGAAACCTCTTCCCTCGCTCAGCCTCAACCTCGTGGGGCAAACCCTGGACCTGAGCGCGGCTCACCGGCTGCCCTCTGCTGCCCCCTGGTGGCCTGAGCACGTATGACAAGATGGTGTGATCCCGCTCCGCATTCCGCGGCTCCTCGCCGGCAGGAAAGGCTCTGGGTTGTGCTCCTTTGACTCCTCACAGAATCTCTGCTCTAGAAGGAGCAAGACCAGGGGCTGAGGATGGAATCCTACCCAGGCCACAGTGATGGGAGGAGAAACGGGCGCAGTCTGTCTCTCTGATGCCCCAGCCCGAGTTTCAGGGCAATGGGCTGCAGAACTGTGTTAGGGGAAGCCCCCTTGTACCTTAGCTGAGGACCCAGGTAGAGATCAGACCCCTGGGCCAATCCCGGTGACAGACCTGCCCCAAGAGCTTACTCAGGGTGGGGCAGGACCCCCCTTCCTACTTCAAGGCCTTGGAAGAAGAAAATCAGAGCCTCCGACAGAGCCTCCCTGGAGGAGTGCTGTGGAGGTGACTCTTAGAGGATGGCGACCGGGGAAGAGGGGAGGAGCATTTGAACTCATAACAATAAAGATTGTAGATTTCTAGGTATCAAGGAAAACGGTGAATCACTGTGTATGGACAGCAAGCAAGGCTTTAGGTCCTTCATATATAGAAAGCACTTGCAAGTCAATAAAACAGCTGTCTATACAACAGAAAAATAGGCAAAAGATATGAACAGAAATACAAAAAAAAATCCAAACAATAAATGAGAAAAATGGAATTGGTGAATAAGCAATGAATAAAATGCATACTAGACTGATTTTTTAGGTATCTTGGGAGAAAAAAATACACACACACACACTAGGGACTGAACCCTGGGACACTTTACCACTGAACTACAGCTCAGCCCCTTTTATTTTGTATTTTGAGACAAGACTTTTTACTAAATTACGGAGGCTGGCCTCTAATTTTTTTTTTTAATATCTTATTTAGAGACAGGCTCTCACTGAGTTGCTTAGCACCTCATCGTTGCTGAGGCTGGCTTTGAACTCGCGATCCTCCTGCCTCAGCCTGCTGAGTTGCTAAGATTATAAGCATGAGCTATTGTACTTAGCTGAGAAAAAAAATCTTTTAAATATCATAATCAGTGCTGGTAAGAATACAAAATAAGAAGGACTCTTAAAATTAAAAAAAAAAATTAAAAACCTCTCAGGCAGCCTTTTGGTGATAGCCATCAAGAGACTCAACGATGTCACCTACTCTTCACTTGACACAGCAACTCCAACTCTGGAATTGATCTTAAAGGGAAAGAAAGGCAGCTGAGTGTGGTGGTGCAGCAGTGATCCCAGCGACCTGGGAGGCTGAGGCGGGAGGACCACAGTTCAAGACCAGCCTCAGCACTTAGCAAGACCCTGTCCTGAAATAAAATAAATTGAAAGGCCAAGAATGTAGTTTAGTGGTAAAGTGCCTCTGGGTTCAAGTCCAAATATGGAGAGAGAGAGAGAGAAAGACAGACAGACTTAGGCATAAACGTATATGTGGAAAATATTCATCAGGGGTAAGTACTATTTTCAAAATATTTTTTTAGATGTTGATGGGCCTTTATTTTATTCATTTATTTGTATGTGGTGCTGGGAATCGAACCCAGGGCCTCCCTCATGCTGGGCAAGCGCTCTCCACTGAGCCCCAGCCCAGCCTGCAAGTACTATTGTAAGAATTTTTATTCTCATTGGTTTTTGATGATCGTGGAATATCTAAATCCCTGTTATCTGATATCTGCTGCTGCCAGACTTTCTCCTGTCCTCTACGCCTGGCCCTCTCTGACGGTTCTGCCCACATTACTGTATTTACTGTACTTACTGCTCATCATTTGTCTATAGGGTGGGACCTTTAGAGCCACTTCACAGATGAGGAAACTGAGGCTGGGGCAGGGGAGAGGGAGAACGAAGCCCCCACCTGGAACAGGAAGGGAGACCGACTTCAACACCGAGGCCCTGACAGAGGCTCACACTCATGAACACACCCCTTGATGCCATCGGGGAGCCCAGCATGTTGGGTAGTGACAACTGTGAATGCTCCCTGAGCCTTCCACGTCACAGGCCCTGCCTGTGCTGAGCATTTAATGCACACAGCCTCCTTTGCCCCCACAACATGTCTAAGCATGTCATCTCCATTCTACAAATGTGCAAACAAGGCACAGAGAGGGTAAGTCACTTCTCCAAAGCCACACAGGCAGCCTGGCTTGGAGGGTCTGGGCTTCTAACCACTTCTCTCTCTCTCTCTCTCTCTCTCTCTTTTTTTTTGATCCATACATAGTAAATATAGGAATCAATAAATAACATAATATAAATTAAGCAATGGGCAGAATTAAAAAGAAAAATTCCAAGTCAAAAACACATCTAGGCAGTCGTAAAAAGATCACATAGTCCCCGAGGTGTGGCTCGGTGGTACGGTGCTTGCCTCCCCCTTGTGGGGTCCTGGGTTCCATCCCCAGCACCAGAGAGAGAACATCTCTATCACCCAGAGCTTCCTCCTGTGCCTTGGCACCTAATCCTCCCTCTGCCCCCCCCCCCCCAGCTTTAGGATTCAACAATGAGTCCACTCTGGCTGCACAGGTGAGACTCCCTTCCCAAAGCCTTGAATGGGATCCTGCAGTCAGCGGCCTTCTAAGACGGCCTCCTTTGGCCCAGCCTCCTGGGCTGGCCATTCACCCGGGTCCTGTCCATTGGTTCATTACAACAAGATGAGACACTAAGATTTCAATGAAAGGGAGAGCTGGGTGTGGGGTTTGTGGGCGTTCTGTCTTTGCAACTTTTCTGTAGACTGTTTCGAAAGACTAAGGTTTATTTTTTAAAATGAAGGGGCTGGGGCTGGGGTTGTGGCTCAGCAGAAGGGTGCTCTCCTAGCACGTGGGAGGCCCTGGGTTCCATCCTCAGCCCCACCTAAAAATAAGTAAATAAAATAAAGGTATTGTGTCCAACTACAACTAAAAAATAAATATTTTAAAATAAATAAATAAAATGAAGGAGCTGAAGTTGGGGGCGGTGGTGGCCCACAGCTGTAATCCCACCAACTCAGGAGGCTGAGGCAGGAGGATCAGAAGTTCGAGGCTGGGAGGCCCTAAGAAACTTAATGAGCCTGGCTCAAAATTAAAGAGAGAGAGAGAGAGGAGAG